CAACTGTGGTAAATCTTAAAGCGACAGTATGTAACCTCATAAAAAAATTGTCTTTTACATATTTGTAAAACTTACCTCCAGGTGGTGACAGACAATCTGTATGAGATCAAAAAGAAATGCACTACTTCCTCAGAAACAACCAATCAGAGCCTGAAGGAGGGTCTTAGTGCTGCCAATCACCCTCAGTTGCTCTCAGCTCCTTCCCGACAGCTAGCATACCATGAATGCTAATGCTAGTTAGCATGGCTACCGATGATGGTGGATAAAGTTTTCCTCGTTGTTCCTCTGTCATTAGCACATTTAGCAGCACATACAAATGGTTGATTGGTTGAGTTTTAATATGCAAAAAAGTAATTGCCTGTTACTGCAAATCTTGATCATCATTTATATAACTGCATAGTAAAGAAATCTTCCTTTCCAGTGAGTCACACTGTGAAACCAAGCGTCCCACAGGTGGAGAAACCTGCTATGTTTGTCAAAATGCATTTCCCAACGTGTTAAAGACAAAGCCGGAGTTTTCAGTTCGGATCCAGATCCAGCCGCCCACAGAAAGGAAGCCCTGTCTACATCCTGTTTTAATTATGTATTGATGAGACCCTGAGGACTGACCTGATTTTAATGACAGCTTCATTTGCTCTGCTAATGTGGGACATGAGAGCTGGGCAGTGAACGCAACATTTCCCATGTGCGGACTGCGCGATTCTCAGAGAACAAAGTCTCTTAACCCTTGTATGTCGAAATGGGGTCCAACCGACCCCACACACGTAAAACCTGTATCATTTTCCATAGACCTCAACGTTTGCCTCAGTCCTCGCACGCACAAGAGTTAAATAATCCCTCAAAGTGAGCTGCAGCCCGTTGTGCTAAAATCTTCAACAGGAAAACAGAGCTCGGGGATTGGTAGTGGTTGCTCCTGTAAAATCCTTGCGGTAACCTTTAATCGTTTGCAGCTTGACCTTATCGGCGCTGTACTGCTGCTGAATTGGCCCGATTTCTTCAAACGCGTCTTTAGTTTTTTGACTGCACGCCATTTTCCAATCCGTCTTCTTACGACTGTACAGCTTCCTGGCAGCGGGGACGTGTTCTGTGCTCCTCACTTCGGCCTCAGGACATTAGTTATAAACACTAAAACAAACAAAAGGTTTGGAGAAGCCGGCTTCTGGTCCTCTTGCACTCCGCTTGCCAATAGCGGAGCAGACGAGGCCTGCTTCGACAACGGCCATTATTAAGATCCGTCTTTATTAAGTGAGACTGGCGAACGCGCGCGCCGAGACGTGACAGCACGAGTAAATATTTAAATTGCACAGACGCCAAAATATCGCTTGAAGGACTGCATCGCTTTTCAGCAGTCTGTAAAACTGTTGAAGCCAAAGAGTTGTGGGGAGATTCTGCAGCCATGAGAGGAGAACGTGAACATCCAGTCTGACGGAAATACGTGTGAATGCAGCGTGACGTATTGTGCCGTTATTGCTGCCGTTAACAGTGAAGCCGTCAGTCATTACTGGGTTATGGTATATTTACTTAGAATAGTATCTAAGGAAGAATCAACCAAATTAACACGAATAGTAATTTATTGTTATCTTCTGTGAGTAAAGGTAGTTAATTACTGATCATTTCAGTTTTAAAAAGAGCCTTAAAAAGTTCTATAATCGTCAAAATAATGTCGAATTGATGGAATCGGTGAATTTATGCTCAGAGTGAAGATTGCTATTGTTTTTAATCTGTCTTTGAAGTTATGAGGTTTTGTGTTGTATTTGCGTATTTGAAGGTGTTTCGCGATGTCCTTTTGTGGTGTTTGTAAAATGTTAAACTTGTTTCACAAAGCTTTTCTTGAGAGAGCAAATTAATTTCCGGTTTGAGTTCATTTCAACGTGGTATTCTCGAGATGATGAGTGAATTTTCAGTTTTTTCAAGTTAACAAGTTTATTTTCTCAATAGTTAACTTTCAGTTTTTAAGTTAATTTCTTGTTTTCTCTAGTAAAATTTCCAAATATTTCCTCAGGATGATGAGTTAATTTCCTATTGATTATCTTGAGATATTGAGTTCATCTTCTGTTTTCATCAGTGAGATTCAAGAAAATGTTTTGGTTTTTTTTTTTCCAATCACAAAATGATCGTCTTACCTGACTGCATCCTTCAAATGCGTGCACAACATCGCTGTCACATCGTCAAACAAACAACACATAACCAACCTCCCCAGTTCATCCTCCAGAAACAAGCAGCAACTAGTTGGAAATAAATAGCGGTTGTTAGCATCAAGCCAGTTTTACCGAAAACAGCCGATACTGATGTTAGCGCCGATATATCGTGCGTCTCTGCTATTTGTGGCTCTTATTTATTTGGTTTTCATTTACTGACCACATCCAGTCTGCATTGTTCTCTGTGTTATTTGATTAAACTTTTTGTCAAGATTTTATTCTTGAATGTGAAACACAAATGCATTCGACATTTCTGTAAAACATAAATGCCAGATTCTTTTTGTTTAGTCCAAAATCCAGTCAGAATAAACTTACCATGTATTAAAAACAAGCATTAGGCAGGGGTAAATATATGTTACATAATGAGTATTTACTTTTGTTTCCACACATCTAAGAGAGTGCGTCGAGTGTTAAAAGTGACTGACTTGACCTTCAAAAAAGCTTCAGACAACAGAAAGACAAGACTTTTTTTTTTTTTTTTAATAAAACGGCTCATTTGAGCTGACTTGCACGACCACATCCTGTGGAAGTAACCACTGCTTTGTTAGCTCACTTCCTTCACTTTGTGACTCAGAGAAGAGCTGAGCAAGCCTTTTAAATATTAAGGTGAATGTAAACTGACATTTCTTGTGTATGGTAAATCCCACGCATTTAAAGGTTGTGTTTTATTTTTGTCTCGAAAGGTAAAACTATTTTATTTGTGCGCCAGAGTGACGAGAGAACGGTTTCCTTCTACGCGAAGCATTTAGACTCAACGGCTCGACCCTGATTTAGACTTGTCTTCAGTTTCCATGTTTTCATCCGGTTTTTTTTATGCCTGTTAAAGGTGTTCTGCACAGAGTAGATGCATAGTAATTATTTGATGGATACTTGGCGCCCTCTAGTGAGCACAGGAATGCTCCTCATGCACTAAATTTAATGACATTTCAGAACCTTCCTCCTCACCGGATTACCTTTTAGATTTATATCTGAATCTAAAAGGCAGATTTTTTTCCTTTTATGGAGAGTTGAAACATTAAAAAAAAAAAAAACTCCAGGTCACACAACCAAAGGGGAATTTTACAATTTTGTGAATGAGCACGAAATACGATCTAATTCTAGTAAGAAACATAGAAAGAATTTTTGGTAACTCAGCTGACTTTAGGAGTTTTTCCCCCTTTGTTTCTGTTGGTGTTTGTGATTGTGAAAACGTCACCAGTGCTGCTTGGACTTCTTTGATGTCCTCGTTGAGTCCGGACACTCTGGAACAAGCAGCTGCAGAATTTGGCAAGAATAACTTAATCCGGGTTAAATGTTTTCACTCTCTTTTTGTAAACTGTCATCACCACTTCTGGTAAGAACAGAGGAGGGAAGAAGGATAAAGAGAATACAAGAAAACATACTAGAAGTCTCCTTCTACACCTGCAAAAAAAAAGAGAAAAAAAACAGGAACTGAGAAACCACAGCGACAAACCTATGTATATTTAACATCACTAATTAATACAATTTGTATTTGGTGACCGTAGCCCAAGATAGAGTGCATCTGTACATGCCTATCATCTGTGTGCGTGATCTAGCTTGTGTATAAAATAAACGTAGCTCAGAATTTCACCAAGTTTTATAGTTTTTTTAAGAATGATTTAGCAGAAATTTTGATGGATTCCAGTGTGAAAACTGTAAACGTTTCTTCTACAAGGTCTTCAGTCCTTTAAGCTTAAGCCAGAGACGATTCTGAATATCCACGAGGCTCGGTGGATGCAAACCGGCTTCGAGGCTCCGAAACAAGGACATGGAGAGAGATCAGCTTTGGAACTTGATCTGGTATGAATCCAATTCTGTTCCATTTTGAAGTTTTACTTTTGATTGATTTCCAAGAAAGTTTGCAGTTCCTTTGTTTGTGCCTCAAATATCTGATGTCACAGTCACACAGGTGACACACAAACCACTGTTTATATATATTAAGCATTCAATAAAGAACATACAAAAAAACAAAAGAACCTCAAGTTTTGTACTGCAATAAATAAAGCATCATGTTCGATGTACAGTCACCTGGAGTGGACAAGTTCCACTGGATCCATCATCTGGCTGCCTGTCTGTCTCTCTGTCTGCTTGGCAATTATTCGTAGTAATCATGGTAGACGATGCTGTTTTGCAGGTTCCTGTTGGATGTTGGATATAATTGGTTCCATAAAATCTGCCCGTCTCTTTTCATCCCGGCTCTCTTCTCGGTTCTTCCAAGTGGTTTTTGTTGTGGAATTACTTGGAGACGTTGCGGGTTTCCTAACATATGCTTCAGAATTTGTTTGTTTTTCTCCTTTGCAGCCATGGAGAATAGAAGAGAGAGGAATTACGAAGGCCGATAAAAATCCAGATACGTACGCTTTGAGCGCGTTATCCCAGCTTAGCAATGAAACTGTTCTGGAGACTTAACGTTGATGTCTCTGATTCATGTGCACAGAATGTGCTGGCTGGTGTGATATAGTGATAATTTTAATCCAAAACAATTAAACAAACATGAAAATTCATTGTGATTTGGAGGGTTGAATGGATGAGTTTGACTGGTTTGTAATATTAGCCTGTCAGGTTATTTTGACAATGTTATTGATTTGTTTAAAGTAAACCACAATGTCTTGACAAATTCAACTGTTTTTATGACAAAATATTACTGACCATAATTTATGTTTTACTTGTTTCTTACGGTTTTTTTTTTTTTTTTGCCAACCCAACTCCATCTGCACACTCTGCAAGTAGATCTGATTTTTATTTTTATTTTTAAATGCAAGCAAATACATTTCTAAGAAAATGAGACATTAAACACTCTAGTGGCAAAAACCAACAAACTTTATTACAGACTGCAAGAGCTGTTTTAGCATGACACATCAATCAACATCAGAATATATATATATATGTATATATGGCTCTGAGTTCAAGGTACATAAATCACTCAACAAAATATATACCCTGCTTAGACAAATGGTAGAAAGTGCACAAATAAAGTTGGTTCTGGTCAGTTGCATCACATGACAGAACAACTTAAGAAAGAAAAATGCAGAATTAAAGCTTACATTCACAAACCTCTGCTATATGAGGACCAATTTATGGGTATGAAATAATTATTTCTACTAGTAATGGCCCCATGCATCATGTCAAAAGAAAGTCACATGCTTGCCAAAACACCCATACGCATTTAAATAAATAATAATAATAATAATTAAAAAAAATCCAAACTCGTATAGAAACATATTTGGCACCATATTTTAGCATAGAACATAAAATAAATCTTGCAGTGTAACACTTTTAGCATATAGAGGTAATATTAGAGTTTGGCACGGTACAAGCACACTCAAAGTTTAAAAAGTGAATGTAAATCGGACTTTTTACATTCTTAAGACTTTATTAAAAAGGTTTTAAAGTTGTGAACAAAAACTTGATGTATTTCATAACAAATTCGAACAGCTAAATGGTTCTCCTTGCTAGCTAGGAGCTAGCTAGCTAGTTTCACGAACAACAAGTTACTAAAGAGTCTCATATTGATGAAATTGTGTGTTTCATGGTCAGAAAAGCACCACATTTCCTTAGAAGGTTCAAAACTGGTCGCGACTCGTCAGCTCCGAAAATGACTAATGTAAACAAAAACCAACAAGTAATTGTGACCTGTTTAAACCCTTTTAGCTAAGCTGGTTAACGGATGTAATCATATATTGCACTCTACAAATCCTCACTCCACAAAAAGGTTGTCCTGGCCTGTTCAAACCATCAAACGAAAAAAAAAGAGTTGCTCTATAGATATAGAATTAATAAGGTATTGAGTAATACTATGTTTATTATAACATCTTGTGTATATTAACATCAATATATAGATTATTTCAACATTATGATATGAAAGATACATATTTATACATTACTATGAATATAGGCCTCTGCCTGTGTGGAGCAGTGCCGGATATAACATAATAACTATTCTATGTTCACGTATCCTCATCCAAACAAATACAAATAAAGGTTTCCGCGCGCGGCTCACAGAGTCAACCGGCTCGAAGTTCCATAGCAAAAATGAATTGAAGCCTCCCATGCACAGAGAGGTTTCAATACAGGTCAAAACTGGTTTCCAAACAGGCCAGCATGAACCCTAACACCTCAGCATGCGAAACACATGACAACAGCGACCTCTAGTGGAAGAATCGAGGGTGTGGGGGAAGAATAAAATGATAGCGTAAGCAGGTATAATGTCGAATGTGTGTTACCGCAAAAACGGGGAAAGTGCCGTTAAGATTTATTGGCGTAAAACATCAATTCGGCAGTAAATATCGTCAAAGACGATCTCAAGATCTACAACAACGCTTTACAATCTCTTGCAGTTTATTTGCACTGACATAAAAGTTTCACGTCGGCATTCTGTCTCAGAGCAGCAGAAACGCTGTACGGGATGCACGGGAAACTATGAGCACAGACGAACAATTCCTCAACTCCCGTGAATCTGCGTTCACCTCAGTCCGTGGTGGGGCACAGTACTATGTGTTGAGTTGTGAGCGAGTGAGCAAATCCTGCAGGAGAACTCCATGCAAGCGTTATGCCTCAGGCTTGACTGGCAAGCTGCCCTGACTCCATGGTAACTCCGCTGTATCTTCCACAGATGTACCAAACCACCGAACCCTAAACAGCAACGAACACGCAAAAACTCTACATGTTTAAAAAAAACAACAACAACAAAAAAAAAAACAGCCTGGCTCTGAAGGCATGCAGGCAATGTCCACCATCACGGATAGCTAAATCACCGATGGGTTTTAATGACTAACTTTGGCAAAGCTAGGTTGAGAAAAAAGAGTCGTTCGTTTAATAAAATTATAAATAAATAAATCTCCGGCGGCATGCAGTTTGCTGAGAAAATCCAAAAGAAACACTAAGAAGACGGTTATCTTATTCGTAACGTAACTCCACGTTTTGTCTATGTAAATTCACTCAACACAAGCAAGCTCACGATATCCATGATGACCTTCTTCTTTAAGAAAAAGAAGAAGCCCTACCTCTATGTCACGCCAGCTTTATCGGAATAACCACACAAACTATTAGTAATCTACAATCCTGTTCTAAGACAATCTTTCACAAGCTGAAAGCCAACAAGCTGAGAAGATTAAAAATATTCATCCTTGTCACGCCACTACAATGTGCCTCCCTCTTCCAACGCCGTGGATTACTGAGCCACGCTGCTGCTCAACCAGGAATCCTAAAAAAGAAAGGATGCTCTCCCTGTTGGGGAAGATGTTGAAAGAAAACAAGTGTACATCAATGACGATGGCTCTCGCACAGATACCACCTGGTATGACAATGCCAGCGCCGTCTGGACTGAGCAGCTACGCGCGGCATACGGCCGCAAGCACGTCCTTCTCCTGGGAGCAGCGAGGGACAGTACCGTGCCCCGCACAGAGCCCTGACGGGACCACAGCTGGCCAAAAGAAACAGAAGCCTTGATTGGTCAGGGAGCTGCCTGGTCATCATAACCGTCGACATGGAGACGCCTAGAGGCCGGTGAGGTCCACGATGGCTTTGATGAATATTGTGTCGTCGCGAATGTACGAGTTCTTTCCATCCAGCTTGGAGAGCGGGCAGAAGAGCGGGCAGCCGCTGGCGATGTTCATCTCGCTCACGGGTCGTTGAAAGGAAGAAGAAGTGACATCGGGTCGAAAGGCGTCGATGATGTGCTCCCTATTGCTCTGGTCCAGTAGCATCAGTGTTACCTGGGTGTTAAACATTTTGTGAGAGATCCACGTTGAGACGGTCAAGTCAACTTACAGAAGCTAAAGCTGTCATCACAGTAGCTGCATTTCCGTTACGAAAGTGCACAAAACTTTGTCGATATTCTGCTACAAACAGCACAATTTTGCAATTCCCGTGTTTCCGTGAGATGAGAAATGAAACTAAAACCACACTCGAATATGTTTTTCATTCAATAAGGTATTAAAAAAAGATGTCAGCATGATATTCCTGCCACTACACTACGCTCGTCATCATAAGTTATCATAGAAGACGTTGGGCGTTGAAGCGACAAGGCCCTTATACTGGGGAGGGGCTGTGTATGTTGCATTTTTGGGAGACTAGTCACCAGTTTTACAGAAGAGCCATGGATTTAACACTTTCAAATGACAAACTAAACTTTTGATGAACTCTGCGATGATGTGAGAGCTCTGGTGGAGTCAGCTGTGCATTGTCCAAGGAAGCAAGTGCCAACAAAAACCATGTTGCTGTTGGATACAAACTGGAGTAATGCAAAACAAATGTTTCAATTGCAGTCTTGTGAAATACACAAATGTCAATAGAACTGAAAAACAACCTAAGTTAACTTGTTTCTTTTCTTTTTTTTTTTTCTTTTTTTTTACCAGAAACATTGTTTCAAAATTGGTGTGTTTCCATTAAGCAAACTTATTATCGTATTTCCAACTTGTGCAATTTTATGGTAAATGGAAACGCAGCTACTGACCCCAACATGCCATGAGTAGATGCATAAATTTGGTATACATGTGCACCAAATTTGCCTGTAATGAATGAATATACTTTATTGTACTTTATTTATCCACTAGGGGGAAATCAATATTTCAGTACAGACCCTAATAATTGATTTTATATTAACTGTCGTCCTTAGACCTCATGAATTGTATTTATTACTATCATAATGCAGGATTTTGGGGTATCAGTTACCAGGGGTGTAAAATTTTAGGTTTTTGTGAAGTTGAACTAAATTTTAACCAATACATTTTTTTAATTTCATTTGAATCTTGTCCTAATGAGGACACTGCGTTTAAGTCTGTCAGTTTTTATTATTTCATTGTTTTTGATATTTTAAAGGATTGAGCACCTGGTCACCTTTAATCATATGATATTTATATGTGTTGTGTGATTGTGCAAAATGTCTTGTTTTGAATAAGTCTCACCCACTTTATTGTAACTAAATCTACCTAACGGCATAAATAAAGTAATTGATAGTAAAATGCATAAAAATGTGCATCCACAAAAAATGGCCATACATATCCTACAAAGTGAATTAGATGAATTATTGTTTTTATTTATGCTTTTGGTTTTTAAGTGCATCTGGGTGTGGTCTTATTGGATCACCAGGTCACCATAACAACCATTAGACACTACCTAAATCTATGTTGTTATGCACATAATTCATTTTTCTCAGATTAAAACGTCCACAGGGACCTTTAAGTAAAAACAAACAGGAATATTTAAAAGCCATTTTCACGCTAATGGTGCCTCTCCATGTGTTTTACCTTCTGGTTGAACGGCCATTTGAGCAGAGCGTCGTTCAGTCCCCTCATCACCACAAAGAACAGGGACAGGTGGCTGCCACGCCCCGTCCCGTCCCCATTCAGATAGATCCTCAGGCACATCTTATAGCCGTACTTGCTAGTATAGAAAGCTGGAAAAGGAAAAGGCACCTTCAGCAGGACATCTTCTAGAAAACTGGCTTTTGTTTGGACTTCAAAGTCAAGGTTAGAAAGAAATATTGTTACCTGGTGAGAACATGGCAGGAGCCCGACCTGCAATGGCATCTTGTCGTTTTTTGGCAAAGTCTGAGATCCTCCAGATGAAGACGCCATCAAAGGTGGTGGCGGACATTTCCCTCAGTCGGCCCTCCATCTCCACCACCGTGAGGTCCTTCAGTCCAACTGTTCTCTCCAGCTGTCGCACCTAGAAGGTACATGGATAAATTTGTATTACCTCAAACATGCTTATAATGGGCGAAGGCGGCAGAGTTTTAAAGGGCAACATTTTTCATAATAGGCCTATGCTGAATTTAAAAAACATTACATTTTAACATCATTTTGTGTCAGCTTTTCTAAAGTGAATAAGCTTAAGAAAACTGTGGTTTTCTGACTTTATTAACCTTGACATATTTGTAAAATATAACACAGGAACCTCTTAGGTTGCTGAACTGAAAAATAAAAGGTGGAAAAATCAATGTGTGATATTCTTAACTTCCCACGAATAGAGAGAAGTACAGTCTGTTGTTGATCTTGAAGGAATGTTAAAACTTCACTCGTAACAGACCTTAAAATCAATTGTGCTTATCGGCGGCATCGTGTTTGTTTTTTTCTTGTTAAATTTTTCTGTTTTCCCTTCCGCTTCGTAGTACATCAGTAAATTGACGCTGCTCTGCCATGCAGCTTGGCTGAATAAGCGCTATTACAGATCATAACTTGAGGAGCTTGTTGAGTGTTTATATTTCAAATTAGAACCACATAAAATACATTTGATATCCCAGACTGGACTGGACAGATTGGAACGTTTTTCATACCCCAACGGATGGCTAGCAGCACCCTCTGCTGGATGGCGGCCAAATTACAACACTGGAAAAACGGTCTGTGCAGGCATTATTAGTTAATTGATTAGAACTAAACGTAATCTAAAAAAAACAAATTGTTTGCACTCCTACTCTATAGCATATTAATATCTGCCTGAGCTTTGCAGCATATTTTGACAGGAACAATTCACCACTGGTGCGACGTCTTCAACTCCTGAAACGATAGTCGACTCGAGGAAACCAAAACTCACCAGCAGTCTGAAGTCATACCTTATTACTAAGAGCTTCGATCTTGTCTTGGTCCAGTTTATGCTGCCGGTTGCTGGCCTCCATGGTTGTGGCAAACCTCTCCACCTCCCTGTTAAGAACGCACACCACATTTTCAAACGTCCCCGCCTTGACCTCGAGTTCCGTGCATCTGCGGCCAAGCTCGGCCACCTTGGTCTTCTCGCTGTGGAGCTGGAGCTCCAGCGCTGCGCCCACCGAGCTGGGCAGGGGTGTGAACGAGGTAGACACGGAGAGCGTTGGAGGAAGAGTGGGAGGTGGAGGAAGAGGAGCTGATGCGGGCGGGCCGGGCAGGCCGGCACTGCAGGTGGAGGAAGAAGAGGAGGAAGCGGCAGCTCCCTGCACGGGAGGCCCAGAAGAGGTGGTGCTGAGCTGGGAGACTCTGGCCTCGAGTTCCCTGAGGGATTGTTGGAGTTCTAACAGTTTGTGTCCGGCTACTTCCAGTCCCTGGGGCTGCAGGCCCTCCATGCTCACCTTCATACCCATAATGTAGTGCAGGAGCAGGTTAAGGTGCTCGTAGGCGTAAGCGCGTTCATGGTCATGAATCTTCTCTTTCTCCACCTAAACAACAAACAAGCAAGACAATTCTGTAGGTGTAGAAAGATAATACAATAAACATAGTTTAACCACTTTGGAATTATGCTACAGCTTAACATCAACATCCTGATATTGACCAGACAGCTGAGCAAGACTGTCGGGTACAGAGACAGACCTTATTCGACTTTTAGCTGTATGCAAGTCTAGGCAAAGAGATCATATGGAGTTCCACAAGGCTCTGTTCTCAGTTCTCTTTTATTCAACATCTACACAGTCCCCATAGCTGAGATTATGGAGTACTTCAACATCTCTATATCTATATTGATGCCATACAACTTTATTGTCCTGTGTCACCTTAGGCCAGTTTGGTCGCTGAGACATCGCTGATCGGACGGCATCACTTTTTTGACTTTAGAAATATATTATTCTAGCATTTGTGCTGTCTTTGTTTAGACAGGCAGGAAGACAGTCACAGTGCTATGTTTTGTCCAGACGGAGGGAAGAAACCAAAGCTGGCCTTTGTAGTATGTCCTGACTCAAAATATTCTTGGATTGCGGTAGCTGAGTTTGCATCATCGCCAGACAAGCCAGAATAACTTCTGATTCTAAAGCCAAAAGTGGAATCGTCCAATCAGCGACTTCTCAGGTTTCCCACTGGGAGCCACCTCTTCCGTTTTGTTAATGTTGTTGTGTTTTGTGATTTGTACTTGTGCTTAGTGAATTATTGAAGAGGTTTGCACTTCAGGGCCCCCGTATCTCTGACCTTGGCCAAGCAGCTGTATTTATACCAACACTGAACCACACACAGGTCGAGGACTCTGTTTATTCAATGAAACTGATTGCCGCGGATCATATTTAGGGGCATCAGCGTAAGGAAAACATGAACCACCAATAAAATACTATGTAGTCTGTTTTTGTAACATGCCAGAATTGAAAGTTTTAGTGGATTTCCGAACTTTGTTCAAATAGGTGCACAAGTACGCAGTCCCAACATTAGAAGTGATGAATATTCAGGCTACTTACAGACATGTCACATCCAACGACATGAAATCGACATGGAGTTCGGAATTTAGTGCAGAGTTTAATATGGTCCACATACTGAAATAAAACACAAAGACAAAGTCAACTGACTCGGACAATCCAAAACAGATAAGATATATTGTATATTTTTATTTAAAAAAATGACAAATAGTTTAAGAGATAAAAAAAATACTTTTACTGTCTTAAATTATTCCTTTCTCCACCTTTCCTATGAGATTTCTTCAGAAGCTCTTTAAACATTTTAAATGTCAAAAATTTTCCACTATATACTAAAATTTCCAGATCGGCTAACAGACTGTGTCAGTAAATGGATGAATGGTGAAAGAATGAATAGATTGATGGTTGACTTAGTTAAAAAAATAGAGAATAAAATCTGGAAAAACTCACCCTTTTCTGTACTTGCACTGCAAAGACTGAAAATATTACCAAGTATTTTTGTTCTAGTTTCTAGTGTAAATATCTTAGTGCAGTAGTAATAAGATAAAACTAACTGACAAGTAACTTTTCAGCAAGAAATAGGAGCTTGTTCTAAGTCAATAATTCAGAAATATTGATGAAAAAGTACTTGCTATGCCACTTATAACACTGGAAACCTGATTAGTTATAAGTGAAATAATCTCCCAATGGAACAAGCATTTTTTCATCAATATTAAGAAATTATTGACTTAAAATAATCTCCTATATCTTGCTGAAAAGTTACATGTAAAATAGTTTTGTCTTATTTCAAGTGTACTAAGATATTTGTACAAGAAACTAGAACAAAACTTGTTAAGACTGTGTTTTTCCAGTGTATTCATACGTGTCTTTTTCTGTTTTATGCAGATGAATTTAAATGTCAGTACATTGACAGTTATGAAGATGCCATCGTATTTTACAAAGGTACCTTCTCTCTGGGTATTTTCTTCTTGGCACAACCTTCACAGATCATCGGATACTTGGGGCAGATTTCGTCATGAGCCTAAAAGAAGCAACAATACTTTCAATGAAGCAACGCTTTCAGCCCCCACGCCCTGCCAACAATTCAAAGCAGCAATCTCTAACCTTGATGTTTTTGAAGTGAAATGGCTCCTTGCAGTACTTGCAGTTGAGCGTCCTCTCCGGGCACTCCCGCTCGTTGTGGCGCTCCTGTTCATTGAAGCGGATTCGTTCTTTGCAGGAGGGGCAGGGGATGATCATGAACTCGCACTTCCCCTCGTGATTCAGCTGCAGGGAGAGAGGAGATGGCGCTGAAGGGAATCCGAAGCGGCAGATCGGCGACGCCCTCAGCTGTGCAAATACAACGAAGGGAGCTGCGCAAACACTGCCGCTACTTTAAAGGTTTCCGTTCTAATCACTCCGCAACAATCCAAACAAGTCATTTAGTGGAAGATTAAGCTCCCACATTAACCTGCAAGCATAAGAGGCAAGTTCATGGAAATTCCCCAAATACACACTGCTGTTTACAGCATAAACACAGGGTGTGCTTATTAATCTCAGCAGGAAGCAGGGGGTCCGCACGGTAAGGTGCGGTACAATCTCTTGACAGCCAGACTGATGAGCAACACTGGTTGAAACCACGCAATATTTAAAGACACACCAACTTCTTTGCTCAATATTCTGACATTAACTCATACTAAACTTTTAATGTTCTAGGTCTGCTAGAAAATTGGTTTATGTTCGCTTAAGGGTAGGATAATGAAAGTGAAATTGTTTTTCTTTCTTCAAGTTCAGAAATTTTAAGAACAGAAAGTATTTTGTGGAATTCACTTCAAACTTTGAGACTTGCATCAAAAGCTTTTCACTGTAGCTTACTGGGATTTCTGGTTTATTCCTTCAGAGAAAACTGGTGTATCTGCCTCAGGCTAGAAACACAAATAACGCCGCTTTTTAAAAAAACGATATTGCATATATAACTTCTATCTTTATTTTCTATATTATGGCTTATTTTTTATTTGTGCATTTTAGGTTCTTATAAATTTACATTGCATTGATACCCTGCAATGTCTCTACTGAGAGATGATTCAATGAATATCTACGTTGCGTACTTTTGCCAGAATTACAATAAAACAAGCAAACAAAAGAGGAGTAGAACAAACCTCATACTCTTTAATAGTTCCTTCCCAAGTACAGTCCTCATTGATACAAACCGCAGACAGGCTTTCAACTTCCCTTCGAACGGCATTGTCAGGAAATGCCTGGAAAAGATACAAAAAAACAGGAACAACAATAGATGTGATTCTTTAAAATGGCCAGGACTAAAATAATTAAATAAACACGGCTAATTCTGCTGAATATTAGGAAAACAAAAATAGACGAATGAAGCCAACACTGAAACAAGTCAGCTGTTCTTAAAGTAATCTCAACACGCCGTGATACTCACACATCCTTGCTTCAAAACTGATGTCGGCTCCTCAAAAATATCTTCTTTAATGCAAGCGTTGCATTTCTGGGGTCCATTACTGTAATGGATTCAAATGAAGCAAAAGTCAGTTTATATCTTGTTCTCTGAACACATAGGTCACCAGGCGCTCACCAAGGAGGGTAAAAACAGAAAACCTTCTCTGCTCCCTTCTTCCATACAACAGGGAAACATGTGATTTATTACAACTTTTTCAGCTTAAGGTAGCAGTTACATTCAGAGCCGGCCCTAGATATTTCGGGGACCTTTGTTTCAGTCTTCCGATTACTTATTAAATGAGGAGAAGAAAACAAGTTTAATTTTCTGACTTCCTCATTAGGTCTGGAATCACATTTAACGAGGAGTTTTTAAATACAGACCAGGTGAAGTCGAGTAATTGTTTGTTGTTATAAGCAGCGATGGAAATTTGACATTTATGTGCCAATAAAATCAGGAATTTGACACTTTGGGAGTTGATTTTAAAAATTTAATACAAAGTTTTAACACTGTTGTTCCATTTAAAAATTTGACCCCGCGTGGTTGCCCCCTGCTGGTCGGGGAGCTCTCTGCACAGCTGAGACTGACACCGGCAGCACAGAGTTTTAAAAACCTACGATTTCAAAATAATGCATTAAAATGTTGTTATTACGATGCCAAAGAAACTGCTGGAGTGATTGAAGTTTTACTGGGCTGAGTGGAGCAACACAGCACTGCACCTTCCCCACCTGTTGCTGCATACTGACAGTCAGGAGGCTAAAAGAAGGCCACTACACTTTTATTGTGCAAAAATGTGATGTCGGATGTTTAGAGATCAGCAAGGATGGGGTTTTTTATTCTTTAAAATTACATGCGTAAGAATTGCTTTTATTTTGTAGGAATTGAAATTCTCAGCTTGACTGTGAAAAAACGTTTTGTTTCTGTTTATTCTTGCCAAAAACAAAGCTCAAAATTTTTTCAGATGTTATGAATATGAATCATCGTCATAAAACAAACCTACGACTTATTTTTGTGTCTCAATGAAACGCAGCTCCAGAATCAACATGATTACTTTCTGTCTTTGGGGCTCCACCACATCCTGGAGTAAATATCCGACTCCGTGTTCAACGCTAAGTGTGTCGGTGAACTGACTGGTGCCTTCTTGTAGATGTGAGATGAAATTTAAATGTATCCTAAGATCATTCTGAAGCATAACATTGTTGATTTTGTTCATAAAAACGCACAAATTCAGCACGACAACAAAGACCAGTCGCACGGTTCCTGTTTTTTCCGGTCTCGGCCAATCAGATTCTGACCTCACGGTCCTGTTGAAGCAGTAGGAGCAGAAGCGATGTCCACACTGGGCTTGAAATGGCCGTCTGAGGATGTTGTGGCAGCAGTTGCACAGGTGCTTGTCCTCCAGCTTGTTGCCCAGGATCTTCTTGGGGAAGCCGGGTTTATTGCTCTCCATGGACGACGGAGGGGACGGCTCCTGTGTGGCCATGGCGTCTGTTTACACGTCACACCTGGGAAGAGACGGTGAAGGTCAAGAGAGAGAAACTGGAGTTTGGATTATGCCCCGACTTTTTTTTTTTTTTTTGTTCTCACAATTCAGACTTTAATCTCAGAAGTAGGATTTTTTTTTCCAGTGGCTTTAATCCTGTGTGGTCACAAACTAGGAGCAAAGGGAGGGTAAACAAAGTGTTAGCTTAGTGATGGTCACACTTACACAAGCCCGTTTAGATTTTATTTTTATATTTCATCTGTACAAAATGAATATCACCTCATAGGCGAACAACATTTTGAAAATTTATCATGATCACATTTTTGCAAATTACAAAAAGGTGACATTTTAACAGGGGTTGTGAAAATCTTTTAGAGCCACGGTGATTGGCATCTGGTGGTTGTTATGGAGACCTGTTGACCCCAAGCGTGCTGTTATGATTACTGACATTTATTCTGCTTTATTCAATTTAAAACACTGTAAATAGTAGGTATATATATTTATTGTATTTATTAGCGGTGTGTGGATCCCAGATTTACAAGTGAATAAAAAGTTTGCATGATTTCAATATTAATCAGCTGATGTACAAATATGTTTGTTTACAGAAATGTGTAGTTCAATGGTCCTGACTTTATTATGCAAGGTAATACAATCCTAATAAAATAAATAAATTATTTTAAAAAATCCTGAAAGACATTCAACAAAAAAATTAGTTAATATTCACAGAAGGGTCAGAAGCTTATAAAATATGGTTTATGCTTTCCTTAGATCTGTAGGTGTAGAAATATTGTAAGATTACTTTGAAATGATCAGTGAAACAAATAAGTTTGTTATTTTCTTCTAGGACAAACAAAGGCAACAGTAATTAGTCTCAGGGATGGCAACAATCCATTGCAGATGTGCCTGTGGATGTGTTTCCATTGTGTGTGTAAAACCTTCCCATGGTTTACAGTAGTAAGGGGTGGTGTGTGTTGGTGTGCGTGTGTATGGGTGCGTGTGCGTGTGTGTGAGACAGAGCATCACAGGCCAGCTGAGAGGCCCACACCCTTTGTTTACATTTCCACTCTGCATCCATGACTCCTTCCACTTCACCAGGAACAGACTGCTGGGGATCTCCCTCGCAGTCTGCCCAGAAACGGTGCGGCCAGGCTGCACATCCATTGTCTATCTTCCCCTCTCTTCTTGCTTCTCCTTCCTTGTCGCTGTTGCTAAGCTATCAGCATCCTTTAGTGAGTGGTACCCTCAGCACGCGGCCACGCCCCTTTGAAATGTGAAGCTTTTGCCGTCTGTAACAAACTGTTTAGCTTTTTTAAAGCCGTCTCTTTGTGAACGCCGCGGCAAGCAGTGGAGTTCGCACTTACCAGCGGTTTTAGTCTAAACTGTCATCCCGCGCGCAGGCTGTGAAATCCCCTTCCCCGCTCGCAGATTCCCGCTCGTGGGCTCTGCCGTTATTATATGTGGTGTCGCAGCCGGCTCGAGGTGTTTTCTTCAATGTTAGCCACATAATACAGATGTGGTCCCCCAACGCGATGGCTGTTATTGTCCAATATCGCCATTGCACTTTCAGACTGGGCTTTACGTCATGCGGTGGGCTGGACGTGGGTTGACAGGCAGACCAGCTGGGAAGGCGGCCCGCTGATTGGCTGAGAACCGGGAGAGGAGGCGGACCGGCTGAGGCAGAGGAGCCAGTAAACAGCCGGATCCCTGACTTCGTACAAAAGCATCACACACGGTTGTGTTTTTAATAGCCCCAATGTTTGCACCTGTCTTTTTTTAATGCCGTTTTAATACACACAGGTGCTTCTTTGACTCACTTTCCTCAAGGAAGAACATCCTTCCTTCCAGAACGTGTTTCACTCCATTTTGAGCTCTGTCTGTATATAAATAGTTAATCTAAAATTATTTATACCCTCTCTGTCAGATTAATAGTAGAAATTACTTCACTTAAACAAGAAGTTTATTTCTGATAGGAAATTAGACCAGCATCTCTAAAAACATGATTTAAAAACTTAAAAGGTTGGATGATCGATTACATTTAAAAAATACATATATTGTTTTTTTTATTCCCATTATAATCAAAATTGCAAGTTTGAAATATTTACAGCTTTCACTGTAGTCAATGGGAACATTTTTACAACTCTTCTAATAATTGATGGTGAGCCCTTTACATATTTCCACTGATGTTTTGAGGCTTTATGATTAGTTTTGAACTCTTACCTTTTACCTTTCACCTACTTCACAGGTTTTCTATCAGATAATATAGACAATATTTAAAAAAATTAAAAATCTGTTTTTTTAATTTAGAATTAAAGAAATTTGTTCAAATATCCAAAATTATTCTTCTGCTTCTCAATTATTAATAACAAAAAACTTTAATGGCTGTTGAAGAAACCAAACAATTGTCTCCATTGATCTTTAGCTAATCTTTAGCTCTGTCCACAGATTCTATATATCCGATTCAAGTCCAGATTCCAGCTGAGACACTGAAAAACATTATTTTTTTAAAGAAACTAAACACTTCTTCACCACTTTAGTCCAATGTTGCTCAGGATGAAGTTTCTCTGTTGGTTTAGTGTTCTTCTTTTCCTAATACCAGTAACTTTGATTAGCCTCCCTGTCCCAGTGGCTAAAAAACACCAAACCGTTACGTTCTTACCACCAAGCAGGCCTACGGAAAGGATGATCTTGCCGTTGAATGTTTCTTTTTCTTTAAACTAACTGAAGGCTACATTATTGTGACCTAACAAAAAATATGTTTTGTTTCATTTGACAACTTTCCTCAATGACCTTTGCACCCATGAAACCCAGCAGTGTTTGCTGGACTGTGTTACTCTCTGCTTGGCCTACATTCTTGGTGGTGGTGACCCTTGGATTCCTTTTCACCTCTCACACCACCAGTATCGCCGCTGAAGGAGTCACTTTTAACGTCCTGCTGTACTCTCTAGGTTTCTCCACAATGTGGTATTTGCAACCATTTTAAATTTTCCTTGATTAGCTCAACATCCCAGCCTCGAATTGGTTTATGCCTCCACCACTGATTCAGGCAACACATGATCTAATTGATTTCTTTACCTTTGTTTTTCTAGTTCCATCAAATCTTTTAAACAGACATACTTTACATGTTGAATTCGACCAAACGGTCCTGTTATCGGGTTACTCCGTGTGCACATGCGTTCATTCGACTGCCACACCAACCTAATGTAACCCGCCGTCTGCCGACGAGAGACGATCCTGTTGAGGCAAAAGTTCAGCTTTTGCCTCAACAGGAAAGGTGTGGGGAAAACCCAATAATCTAGGAAACTGATACCAGCAAAGCAAAAAAAAAAAACTGCATAATGTCTGCGGTCTAAGCACTGGTCTTCAAGCTTCAGTTAAACAAAAGTTTGAAGAAAAGAGTTTATTCTCGTGAACATAATTTATCAGATTACAAAATCAAAGCATCTGATCATCAAAGTTAATCAAGAGAAACATCTATGATAAATAGACCTAATATAATCTCATTATTAACATTTTTTTCTAAACATACCACTCAAGTGAGTTAGAGCAAATATTTACAAAAGCACTATGAATTTTTTCTTCACCATAAGAAAGTACTTGACTATATTGTGCAAACATCTCCAGCTGAGTGATTTATACGCAGGACGTAAACAGAATCTATTAGCATTTCACTTCTAAGAGAAAGAGAGCACTATTTGACCTTTGACCTTTTAAGAAATGTTTCCAAACACTGACAATTGCACTTTTGAACCTAACCTTCATGGTCATATTTCTATACGTAGGCATACGTGTGAGAGTGTGTTAAAAAAAACTATCATTGTCATGATATTGCAAGCTAAAATACAGTACATAAAATATGCTGCCTTAAAGCTGCAGCACTGCTTTGTTTGAAACAGGAGACAGAAAAGTCCTGAGGGAAACACAGAGCGAGGCTATTATTGCACAGCAAATGTTCACACAGCTTTTTAAGACTGAGCTCTGGGCGTGTGAGCTGTCCATGCTTTGGCAACAGAGCCACCAAATGTGCTGCACAGCTCCCACCGCCTCTCTAACTACCAGCCAAGCCTCCGTCTGGACAGAAACACAGACGAAGGTCTTCCTTTAAGTCTCCTCCAGGAGCTTCCTGAGGTTCCTTTGAATCTACGGCGAAACAGCAAGAGGAGAGACAAGACAGAGGGACACTGATTAGCCGTTTGCAATAGACTGCTGTATATTTGTTAAAATATGACTATGGTCTTGCGCGGGACAAGCTGACACTTTTGCTGTGTGTCATCTCTACATGCTGAATAGATAGCTATGGAGAGTTAGCTTAGCAAATGATGGAAACAAAAGTGTTGCTTTGTGAAATTGTGAGCATTTGCACAATGATGGAGGGCAAAAAGACGATACTTTAACTTGCCACCACTGCTAACTCTGTTATCAAAATGAAACACAGAGACGTAGGTGTTTTTAATTTGGTGCAGCGCGCCACAGCAATTGGAAAAGAAAGCAGAAAAATCGTTATTGAATGAATATGGAGCGTAAAGCTACTAATGTCTCCAGTTTGAGACATTAGTAGCTTACTGAGGTTTGAGCCACATTTCCTCCTTTTTTGAAAGCTTAACTTTTCATTTTCTTTGCCGTTAATGTTCGTCTCCACCTGAATCCTGAATTTTAGCTAATATGTTTGAGTTTCATCTGAGTCAATAGCTTGTCAGACTCTTACACTGTTGTGGAGGAATTTTGGTTCTCTCAATTATTTAATAAAACTGATGGTTTTCAGATTGACTTTCTCCTGTAGCAATGTGCTAACGCCATTTCTTATTTTGTTGCTCATTTTTATTAGATAATCACATCAGAACATAACTGAGGTTAAGACTTTAAAGTATCTCTAAGCTCCACTAATAACTTCCACACTGCTATTTAGTGACTTAACCCTGTGACACAGCTGGTCAGCTGGACTCGTGACTCATAAACAGGTGACGGGGTGAATCTTTGCAGCCAAGACACTGAACTGTTTTGTGAAAGAGTCTTTTGACCGAGATCTCAGGGCACGGGATCGCTGGAAATGTTTTATGAAAGTGAAGTCTGTCTCAGCTGCAGTCAGGAGGGATTATTTTACTTCTTGAGTGTGAAGGGATTTCCTAAAAAAAAGTCTCACTGATGCATTAAAACTGCATCTTTCACACAGGGCCGGCCCAAGCC